ACTAGTGTGATAAACAGTGCAAATTTTCATCAGTTTTTATTTAATATTGTGAAAATTATTCATAAATAATGCTTTTTGAGGTGCCTACTCTCAGATAAATGAGGCCTACAATTAATCAGAAGCAAATATAAATACAAAACCAGTCCTAAATGAAAGATAAGAAGTTGACAAAAAGATTGAATCCAATATTTGGTGATAATATAGCATAATGAGTGATTTATAAGCAATTATTTGAGGGAGTGCCTTTTTTGCTCTGTAACCTCGTAGGCGTAACAAGGTGAAAAATCTCCCCCAGAAAAGTATGAAAATTATTTAAAAAAAAATTTTGAAGTAGTTATACCCTTTGTGAACAAACTCACAAAATTTCAGTCCAATGCGATAACATTAACTAATATTTTCGGGAAAAATAAAAAATTTTCAGAGCAAAAAGGACCCGAACACCACATGAGGGTTGGAATAGATCACCCAAAAACGAAAACATTTTCATCATTTACAAACCTGAATGACTTTTTTTGCTTATGTTTAATATAAAAGAAGATATTTTGAAGAATGCTGTGTAACGTTTATTATTATTTATTAGCTCTAAAAAGGGGAAAATCAAACAGTTGATGATCCCCATTGACTTCCATTGACTTCCCTACTCTGGAAGTCAATGGGGACCAACAACTGTTTGGTTCTTCAAAATTCTTCAAAATATCTTCTTTTGTGTTCAACATAAGAAAGAAAATTTAAATTTTGGGGTGAACTATTCCTTTAAGTCCCAAGTCGCATTTTATAATAAGCTTGCTAGTGGGACAGCTAATCCAAAAACAAAGAGAAATGTATTACTTGAAACAACCACACCACATTTCGATTTACTTTGATTTATCTCCAGAATTGCCCGGCAACTTTGTATCTAAGAAAAAATTATGTGCATTCTGTCTTCGTTCTAGAAGAATATGCTTTGTAACAGAAGCTTCAGAGATAGTAATCTAACGGAGCAATTTCAGTGGAATTGTGATTTAGATGATCTTTATATTCCAATGAGATCCTGCATGGCTGGCTTCTCATCTTTTCGTGATACCCAGGTTTTGTAATCAACAGCAAAGCCATCTGGGTAAGTGCAGAGACACCTGTGCTTTTTGGGTGAAAGCCACTGAAGTGGAAGCACTGCCAGAAGAGAATGCCCTTCTAGCAATGACAATGTAAAAACATACAGTTCAACGTCATAAGATGTTATTCCACCCCCGCAATATGCATCTTAAATTGTTCTGAACCATTTGGCAGCTTAATACTTAACTTATCTTGACCATGTTATCTAATTAGTGTCTTTTCACATTTTCATCCTATGAGAGGGATTGTGAACATAAAGACCTTATTATGATGAATGATCCACAGCTCAGCTAATGCTAACCTTCTGTTTAACACCTTGTGGGTCACGGCACCCAAACAGAGATTAATCTGAAAGTTATTTCATCCCTGCTGTGATATCCAGTAACATGAAAATCAGTCTGATTAAGCTACTGTCAGTTTTTACTTTTACGAGATGTGTCGAAATTCATGCCTGGAATATGAAATCATTAAACAAGATGCCAAGGTCTGTTGACCAAGAGTCCAGAGAGTAAAAGATCACAGATAATCAGGCACTGCACAATATTCGATAACTAACTTGCTGACAGTTGGTTGGTTATTAAAGTTCTTTTTAATTGCATTTCATGCAAGACTGGACCAGCAATTAGTCAGAGAACGTTCAACCTATGAAGCTTTAAACAGGACATGCATCATTTAACTGTATAGCTGATCATGTGAGCATAATATATGTTATTTTAACCTTTTGCTGTTTATCGAAAAAGATACGTTTCTCTAGTTAGTTAGTTAGTTAGTTATCCCTCTGCCTCTATATTCAAGAAATACCATTCAAAAGTTTGGGGTCAATAAACATTTTTTAAAGAAATTAATAATTAATCATTTCTTTTGAGAAAGGGTGCATTAAATTGATGTTACAAAAAGATTTCTGTTTTTAAAAAATGCTGTTTTATGAACATTTCAAATAGTCCTAAACGTTACAGTTTTCGTAGAAATATTAAGCTGTTTTTAACATAAAAATAATAATAAATGTTTCTTAAGTATCAAGTCAGCATATTAGAATGATTTCTGAAGGATCAAGTGACACTGAAGACTGAAGTAATTGCTGCTAAAATTGAGCATTTTAATATATTTTAAAATAGAAAATTATTTTAAATACAATAATATTTTTAATCATCTTTATTTTTAATCAAATAAATGCAGCCTTGGTGAATATAAAATACCACTAAAAAGCATAAAATACTACTAACAATTGAATGGTATATTTATTGAAAGCGGCTGCTCATGTCATATTATTATGTAGTGCTTGATGATTCAGTTGATATTTATCGCTCAAACAGAAGACAGTTGGACAGACGTAGTGCAGTTTATTATGACGTTTCGGTTTCAGTAATATATCTGAGAATGTCTACATATATTTTATGACTTTCAGTGCTGAAATCAGTTTAGCTATGGCAGATGAAGGCATTATAATATGTATCATCATGTATGTGTCACATTAACATATCACTTAACATGCATGTTGTGCAACCAGCATTCTTTTGGTTCTTCTATTTGGAAGCTGAACACGTCTGATGTACTTTTTTACTATCCACTTCTTTTTTTAGCTTCATTTTAGCATCTCTGTAATATTACTCACCATCTATTTCATAATGAATAGTGTGTAAGTGCCTGTCCAGAAGCCAAAAATTACAGCTGAATGAATCTGAAGCTGACCATTTTTATGCACAGTTGACAGTTTAACCTTCCTTTTAGGAAACACTTCCTACTTCACATGCATAAAGAGGGAGAACATCAATTAAACAAGTTTTTTATTGGCCCCCCGAGCTTATTTAATTTTCCTTCCTTTTAATTTGTTTTTCGAAACACTTTGGTTTTTTGCTCTAAACAGTGAAGATCAAACATCAGAGCAAGCTTAAATGACCTCCACTAATCAATGAACTCAGAGCAGTGGCTAAGAGATGAGATTCAGGCTATTACTGAACTGCTTTTGGTTCTCAGGTTAAAGTACTGTTTATGCATCAATTTTAGTTGAAATAGAGTGTCAGTAGTTCAAGATTACAGGTTTGCACCTAGATAAAAATGTTTTTCTGAACGATGACCTATATGATGACCTTGGACGATGCTAATTTGAAACACAATTAGGCAGGATGACATTACTGAGAACTGAACTTACAAACAGCATATCAAATTCTTTGGAGGTCAAAAGTTTACCCAAAAATCCTACTATAGGCACTTTGTGAGCTACTGAGTGAAAAGGAATGAGAATGAAAAGGAATTATGTACCATATTAGAGTCTATCAAAAAAGCTGATGTCTGTACATTTCTTTTTTCTTGATCAGTTATAGTGCAGTTTTTACCCATTTCTTTTATATCTGATCCTTAGAAATTATTTTCATTGGTGTTGGCTAAAGTATTCAGTTATAAATTACATGTTTGACTTGAATAAAAGCAGTTAATTTAGATGCTATCACACGATGCACATTTCGAGCTTATCTAGTAAAACGTGTTTTGATGTGCTGAATGCACCAGAAGTCTCATCAATTTTAAAATTATATAAAGAGGCTGTGTTTCTGTGTTCATTTGCTTCTATTGGCGAACTGTATTATAAGATATATTCAACCTAGCAGGGTAGGGTATAAAAGTGATTTCGGTGATAAAGTGATAAAATTAATTTCGGCACATCTTGTTATTATGCTCTAGAGAATGATGTGCTTTGCACATTACTATGCAGAGTAATTCATTTACAAAACAGCTTATTTATGCTCAGGTCCAGAGATCATTTGAGTGTTGGACCAGTGAGGCTCGGCAAGAGTAGTTGTGCAACTTTTGCAGTATAAACTCTCTTACTAAATGCTCTAATATAGAGGACTATCAGGAAATGCACCACCGTTTTATCAGAAGTAAGAATTTTAATATAATATAATGTAATATAATATAATGTAAAGTTGTAAATAAGTTATATTTGTTTTTGAAAATACAGTAAAATTATTTTTTTATAATAATAATACTACAATTTCTACTTTCTTTTCCCAAATCTCTCCCTCTTGAAATAGCAGGTTACCTCCCACTTCCTACTTGTTCCCTGTGTTGACCTTTGTATTTCTGTGTACAGTAGCATGGATATGCAGTGTCACTGAAGAAGTATTTTACACACAAAAACAGCCTAAAATTATCATGAATACTGGGGGGCAGAATGTCCGCCTCTATCTATTCCAGTTATCACCCTGATGATAACCTATAAATAAAGAAAATGCACAAAATAATATAAAAAATATTATGGTAAAAAAAATCATCAGTGGGTTTCTGTGTTGTCCTACATGGCATTCCTAAGTTTCATGTTATGTGTGGGGGTGATATACAGGTCATCATGTGTTTACCTGTCCTAAGTGATAACTTCTCTCCTGCATGACATGCTGTTAGCTCTTCACACCTATACATAAACACATGGGACATAAAACAGGACAGAGAAACATGAAAACAAGCTCTAGAATCCACCCCTATATGGATAATGAAAGAGACCACCATCAACTCCAACTACGTTCAGCTGACTGATTCAGTGCTGACTGTTAACATTTGCATCTGGCGATAAAGAAGAACTAGTTTTCTCACTGTTTATGTGTGCTGGCCTTATACGGACGGCCAAGCGAAAATTCTTGTTAGGGTCTTGACATAGGTTACGCATTCATTTCCTCATAGATAAACGCATGTGCACACAGCATAAGTTCAGTGTTGTATAATATGATTACAGCTTGTAGTAGTTAATCATTCTTCAGCTGTTTTGACATTTAGAGATAATAATTGATGAATTATATTACTTTCGTCTCATGTGTTACTGAGCTCAGAGAACATCAGTGCTGACTAGGCAGTGTGGATTTATGTGTTCCATTGATATAAAAATAGTCTGATGTATGCTGTATCTCATTTTTAGATTGCAGATGATACATTGAACTTCTCTCCTGAGCTTCCAATGGAACTACAAAGGAAGAGCCGAACAGTTCAGCCTGCAGGTCCCCTGGATGGAGGCTATGGCTGGTTCATAGTGCTTTCCACCTTCCTTGTCTTTGGGCTGACATTCGGAGTAATCAAGTCCTTCGGTGTGTTATTCGTAGAAATCCAACATTACTTTGCAACCACAGCGACTGCAAGCTCATGGATCACATCTATCTCTGTGGCAACTGTACATTTTGGGGGTATGTGGCAATTTAAAGTTTCAACCAGCAGGGGGCTCGCTCCACTTACACTGTTAGCAGCACACACCTTTGCCTTTTAATGGCATGCATGAGACTGATATGTTTATGAATTTCAAAATGAAAATGTGACTTGGTAAAAAACTCGATGTCACATTTGATCATAAGCTTGTTGTAATCTTTTAAAATGTTCTCTTGTAAAATCCATTTTCTTATTTATGAATTTAACAAATATTATATTAATATTATAATTTATTGAATAAAATATTACATTTACATTTAGTCATTAAGCAGAAGCTTTTATCCAAAGCGACTTACAAATAAGGACAATGTAAGCAATCAACATCAACAAAAGAGCAATGATATGCAAGTGCTATAACAAGCCTAAGTCAGCTTAACACAGTACACTTAGCAAGTTTTTTTTTTATTATATAATAAATAAATAAAAAACAGATAGAATAGAAAAAGAATAGAGCAAGCTAGTATTAGAGGACTTTTTTTGCTTTTTGTTAAAGGGGTCATATGATGCGATTTCAAGTTTTCCTTTCTCTTTGGAGTGTTACAAGCTGTTCATGAGTAGATAAGATCCCTAAAGTTCCCCCAAAGAGATATTCTTTATAAAAGTTAAGACTGGTCCAAGCCCTCCTAAGACGCCTCGTTTAAACACGCCCTGACATGTCTACGTCACAATGTGGGAAGATTTGATTAACGCCGCCCAAATGTTCACGCAAAGAAAGAAGGTGTAACTTTATTGTTGCTGCCACCGCCGCTGCCATGTTGTGAAGACGCTGTGTGTTTCGCCAATCACAACGCACTGGATAGCTGGCCAATCACAGCACACTTCGCTTTTCAGACCGATGAGCTTTGTAAAAATCGACGCGTTTCAGAAAGGCGGGGCATAGAGGAGAAACAATAATGTACAGTATGTGGAAAATAATGTGTTTTTGAACCTTAAACCACATAAACACTTTTCATTACACCAAATACACAAAATAATGTTCTTTTTAGCAACGTCTTATGACCCCTTTAATTGTATAATAAATAAAAAGAGAACATATAGAATACAAAAAGAATAGAATATATTAATATTATAATTCATTTAATATCATTAAAATATTTTAAACATATTATTTGCACTATAGGAATTATTTGCACTAATGATATTTTGTGCAATGTTTGCACAAAATCTAATCTGCAAAGACTTAAAACAATAAAATGAAGATGTCATATAGTAAAAACTCATGTTTGTTGTCGTTGCCTGATCTTATTCATTATTAAGACTCATACTGACACACGATTGTTAATCTTTTAATATTTGTTAGAGACACACTCGTGTTCTAGTATATATATATATATATATATATATATATATATATATAATTTAAGTATTATTTGTTAATATCCCCTATTTAATCTATTTGCACTAATGTTATTTTGCACAATTCCACAATTCAATTTTAATGCAAAATCAAAGCCGCAAACACTTTGGCTATAAATGAAGATGTGATTCAGCAAAACTGCTTGTCACACTTGATTTTCATCATTGTCTAATCCTATTAAGATGCATGGCAACACACAAACTCATTGTAATCTTTCAATATTTGTTAGACACTTATGTTCTCTCATCTTTTTTTTTACATTTATGAATCATTTCTATTACTAATATTTTTAGTTATTCAAATATTATGATAATATTCATTGTTTAACATAATGTTATTTTACACAGTTTTCACACAAAATCTAAGCTGCAAACCAGCTTGTGATTTGTGAAAACACTTGAAAACTCTTTGTCACACCTGATCTTCACTGTTGTCTGATCTTATTTGTGATTAAGATGCATGCCAACACACAAGCTCGCTTTAATCTTGTAATATTTGTTAGAGACACGCTCATGTTCTCTGGCACCATCAGACTTTAAAACATTGTGTGGCTGGAATAAATCTAACAGAGCAGGGGACTAGAAATATGAGTTTGTGTTCTACCCTCCATTTCTCTGTCTCCCAGTATAGTAGCATTACTGGGCTGATGGAGCACATGGCTCCTGGTGGTACAGTATGTCATGACGGTGTGCTTCGTGTTTGTCTGTGATTTAGCCCCCGTAGGCTCTGCACTGAGCGCGTACTTCGGCCATCGGCCAGTGGTCATGGCGGGGGGTCTGCTGAGCAGCATTGGGATGGTGGCCGGGTCATATGCCCAGGATCTGCTACAGCTGTACATCACTGTGGGGTTCCTTACAGGTAAGAGCGCAGCCAGCAGTGGAGCATATGGCTGTACTCACACACACATTCACGTTTCCAATGTTTCAATGAGGATTCACAACTTGAAAAGATCATTAGCCATTTATAATAGCTGTATGGAATCTTATTCATGAACCTCTCAGATTCAAGAACACAGCAGAGCATATGATGAAATGAGAAAATGGTAGGGGCAAAAGAAAAAAAAGAAAGAAAGTTCACTATAACTGTTGGCGCATTTAGTCCAATTATTAATTTTAATTGTTAATTAAATTTGTACTATATCTTTCTTAATTACTTGTTAGTTAGCAAATTATTAATGTAGTTTACTTCATTAATTGCCACTTTCTTAGTATCTTAATTAACATATTTTTAATTTATTTTACTATTTAGTTATTTTGCTTAATTTTTGTTATTTTTATTTTTATTTTATTTCTAATATTTATTTTCATATTTACTTATCTATATATTATTATTTTACTATTATCTCTTTTTGCACTGATGTTATTTTGCACAAAATAAGCTTCAAACACAAAAAATTGACAGATTTTGTCAGACAAATAAAGCACACTAAAAGAAAGAAAGAAAGAAAGAAAAATATATCATGCAGCACAACTTATTCAACATTTAAAATAATAATAAATGTTAAAAATTGACTGATTTTGTCAGACAAATAAAGCACACTAAAAGAAAGAAAGAAAGAAAGAAAGAAAAATATATCATGCAGCACAACTTATTCAACATTTAAAATAATAATAAATGTTCCTTTAGCACAGAATTGACATATTAGAATGATTTTGTGACACTGAAGATTGGAGTAATGGTGCTGAAAATTCAGCTTTGCATCACAGGAATAAATTACATTTTAAAATATATTCACATAGATAATAGTTATTTTAGATCGTAATAATATTTCACAATATTGCTGTTTTTACCGTATTTTTAATAAAAACAAATGCAGCCTTGGTAAGCAAAAGAGAAGTCTTTTTTTAAAAAAGGACGTTATAATCATACCAACCCCAAACTTTTGAATCGGGAATTCAGTGTTACTAGACGGTCATAATACACATAATCTTGCAATACAGTTGTCCATTTAACCAGTGGCATTTCAGCATTGTTTTACCCTTGAAAAATTAATGACTTGTCAGAGGAATAAATGCTTGCTCAGGGATATTCACCCGCTTTGCTCTCTGAATGTCCTTTTTGTTTCGTCCTCTGCAGGATTTGGCTATGCCCTGACCTGGACCCCTACTGTGACCATGCTGGGCTGGTACTTTGAGAAGCGACGGCCAGTGGCCAACGCTCTGGCCAGCACAGGAGAGTGCATCCTCACCTTCATCCTCACCCCATCCTTCCAGTTCATGGTGGATCAGTATTCCTGGAGGGGAGCGATGCTGATCCTGGGAGCTCTGCAGCTCAACTTGTGTTTGTGTGGAGCTCTTCTGAGACCCCTCAACAGACACGTTCCTGCTAAAGAGCTTGAGGAGAAAGAGCACGAGCTGGAGATGTTATCTCAACCTCACATAGACTCTAGAAGTTCAAATAATCAGTCAGACTCAAAAAAATCGGATCCACTGAAGGTCAAAATCATTCGTTACGTGGACTACACTCTTATCGCTAATGCTCGCTTCATGGTCTACTCAATGTTTGGCGTTTTCGCTGCTCTCGGCTTCTTCGCTCCATCTCTCTTTCTGGTGCCGTACGCCCGCAGTCAAGGAGTGGAGGAGTACCAGGCGGCCGCTCTCATGTCCATCTCTGCGGTGCTGGACCTGTTAGGCAGGATGTTTTTTGGGTGGGTGGCTAATCTGCGGCTGGTCAAGACAGTCCATCAGCTGATAGTCACAGTGATTCTGTTGGGCATTGTTCTGCTGCTTGGCCCACTTGCAACCACATTCACCCAGCTAGCGCTGTTCAGTGCTGGTTATGGACTGGTGTTCGGAGCGACTGTGGCCATTCACATCACGGTACTCGCGGAGGTGGTGGGGGTGGAGAGGCTGGGAAGTGCTCTGGGCTTCTTCATGCTCATCCGCAGCAGTGGTGGCCTCCTTGGACCACCTTTGGCAGGTGAGATGTTTAAGAGAAATTTGGTCACTAGTGACTATCCTAAGCAGTGACATCAACATTATTATGTTATATTTATGATTTATTTATATGTTGAGTGTGTAATTTAATTAAATCAATAATATAATATAATATAATATAATATATTGTTGAGTGTAATATATAACATAATATTATATAATGTATATAACATAATATTATTAATTAATAATATCTACACAAATAATTATATATAACCAAATTATTATATATAATTAATAATATCTACACAAATTATTATATATAACCAAATTATTATATATAATTATTGTTATATATAATCATTTGGTTATATATAATTATTTGTGTAGATATTATTAATTAATAATATTATGTTATATACATTATATAATATTATGTTATATATTACACTCAACAAATTATATTATATTATATTATATTACATGTTAATTTATAAAATGTATAAATTTTAATCATTATTATATTATATTATATTATTGATTTATTTATATTATGTTATATAATATTATGTTATATATTACACTCAACAAATTATATTATATTATATTATATTACATGTTAATTTATAAAATGTATAAATTTTAATCATTATTATATTATATTATATTATTGATTTATTTAAATTACATACTCAACAAATAAATAAATCACAAATATAATATAATAATGTTGATGTTGCTGCTTATTGTATAATTACACACTTAATAAATAAATTGATTTGTTTCTTTATTTATTTGTTTGTGTGTAATTATGAACTCTACATAGTTCAACATGCAATATTGTTACAAATAGCTTGCTGAAGTTACTCTAGTCTGACATTGTACAGTAACAATATGTAAAACTCTTTATCAGTCATCCTAATGCATACCCTTTCCTCATCATATTTCTTTGATGATGTTTCTCATTAATGCCCGACAGGACTCAATTTACAGTAATACTATGCTATCGTCCCATACAGCATTGCCTATCAGAGAAATGCACTGGGCTATTGTGTTAATTTCATGGATTATTGGTCACTGCATAAATGGCTTTTCCTGTTTCAATAGCAGACCATGCTTTGACTGCCCTTACCAAATTTAAACCATTTATTTGGTTTCATTGGCTGTAATTTTTCTGTGCCCGCTGCTCAGTACGTATAACACATCACAAACGGTAGTGTGATAATACATCAGTGGAGCTCTGCAAAAGTGGCCAATAAATCAACAAACAAACAACCAGCCAAGAACAACAATGTATTTAATAGCTGTCATTGATTGTTAGACAATAAGCTCTGATAGGGAAACTTCAAATAGCTAGTTCTGTAATGTTGAAATAATGAATCATTTTGCTCTTACCTAACACTTTTTCTCTTGAAACATCTGCCAAAACATGGCACAAGTTGGAAGAGTTTTCACCCCAAGCAGCCAAAAACCTCTCCCACACCAGAGGCAGTTCAACACTAAATCATCCAGAAAAACCTCATCTGTCCATTTAAAGGCATTGACTGCCAAAACTACGTCTATATCTGTATTCTGAAAGACTAATGTACTTAATATGAATCTCTTGGGGGTTTAGTCCGTTAAATAGAGCACAGATTGATGTTTGGGAGGAGATGAGCGCCTTTATTTTAGGCACTACAGGTTAAGAGTGTAGTCTGCTGGGCTTCATAACCAGCGGTGTAATTACACCATAAATTAGCTCTGCAGCAGTTTTTCTCAGTGAGTTTTAATCGGGTTGGAAAACTCCTTTACTGTGGCATTATAAAAGACATCTCAAATAATGACTGCGCCACTGACTTCACAGGCGCTTTATTCCTCTGTGATTTAATTGATTGATCATTTAAAATAAATGTATCAGGGAAATGTGCATTCAGAAACCAGCTTTGCCCGAAAACGTGAGGTGGGAAGATACACGAACAACTGCAGGCTAATTAGTGGTGCTTGGGCAAGCGTCACTGTTATGCACGCGCAATCATCCAGAACATCCTATTGCAACTGCATACAAATGCCCTTGTAACCACCTACAACACCCTAGAATTGTTTCAGCAAGTTTTGCATGCAATCAGCACACTCTCATTTTGCTCAGAAAATGTCAATATTTTAATTTTAATTGCAAGCTAATAACATTGTCATAATATTAAATACTACTTACCATATTTTATAACTGTATAGAAAATCTGACCACATAAGAGATTTGTGGTTTCATTTTAGTGATTTGTCAATTAATAGTTTGCCTAAAAATACAATTTTGCTGACACTTTACTCACCCTCAGGCCATCCAAGAGGTAGATGAGTTTTGGAGAAATTCAGCATTACATCAGTTGCTCACCAATGGATCCTCTGCAGTGAATGGGTGCCATCAGAATGAAAGTTAAAACTGCTGATAATAACATCACAATAATCCACAAGTGATCTACATGATGCCTGTCCATCAATTAATATATTGTGCAGTGAAAATATGTTTGTAAGAAACAAATCCATCATTAAGGTATTTTACCTTTAAACCGTCACATCTGACCAAAACATAATGCTTCCTCCAGTGAAAAACTCTTTCCCATGTTGTCCTCTCACTTCAAAATATACCAACATACTTGTTTAATACTGTCTTGGGCTGTTTTTGCTTGTAAACAGTGCTTGATCTGTGCATATTTCTCTCCAGATTCAGACACAATGACGTTTTCACTGGAGAAAGCAATATTATGAAACAGATTTTGAAACATTTTGAAGTTAAAAACGTCTTAATGATGGATGTTTATTACAAACACTCGGCTTTTCACTTCACAAGACATTAACTGATGGACTGGAGTTGTGTGGATTACTTGTAGATTATTGTGATGTTTTTATCAGCTGTTTGAACTTTCATTCTGACGGCACCCATTCACTGCAGAGGATCCATTGGTGAGCAACTGATGTAATGCTGAATTTCTCCAAAACTCATCTACATCTTGGATGGCCTGAGAGTCAGTAAATATTCAGCAAATGTTTAACTATTGTTTTAAGAGAAAATTCCATTTCAAACTTAATTGACCGTTATTAAATATTTTCTACTGTTTCTACAGGAATCTTCATAGACAAAATGAGTGACTATGGAACTGGTTTTCTGATGGCGGGCGTGGCTCTTCTCGTCTCCGCCCTCTTTCTGCTTGTGTTACAGCAGATGAACAAAAAAGGGACGGGAAAGGGTAAAGACGTCAACTTGGAGAACGGGAAAGGACATGAGGATCTGAAACACAGAAATTTCAATTTCAGAAAAAGTTAGTGAAGAGGAGGAGGCTCTAGCATAATGTTAGGGATACACCGATACCGATACTGGTATCGGTATCGGGCCCGATACTGGTCTCCTGTACTCATACTCGTTAAAATGCCCCGATACCAAACGCCGATACCACACAGCATGTGATAAGCGCCATATTCAAACAAAGAAACCCCGACAACAGAACAACAGACAGCAGAAAGGAGTTAAGGATGTCTACTACGAAGTATATGTATGCAATGAATATAATATTAAACATTCAGTATTAACGCCTGTATAGCTGGTGTGCGCGAGCTGATAAACAAAGCACGCTGAGTGGATTGAGCGCACCGCGGCGCAGATGCGCGAGCTTGTCGAGTGAATATATCTTTCTCACAGACATCACTGGAAGGTTTGTAGTTCGGTCGGATATGTCAAAAACAAGTAAGTAAAACATTGCACAAGTTACTTAACGGTAGGGAGAGAGAGAGAGAGAGAGAGCGCGCAATTCTGTTGTGTGATCTTTGATGTTCACTCACTTAGCACACGATTAAAACTAAATCGTAAAAATAAAATCATTCATAGGGGCATTCACTATAAACATTATTTATTTTCAACCTTAGGCATACACGACTTTCTGGCGAAAGTGAATCTAACAGCCTGTGTGAAATGCGCTAGGCTGTGCAGTACAAATACCTGCACGCGTTGCGCGTGTTTTGCTTGCTTGATTGTTTCT